TCGTTCTTGTCCTAACAGGGTAGTGATCAAAGGTGGCTCTAGGTAAGGCTTTTGTCACCAAACCCCTCCAAAAATTCTCCCACGCTGCATTAAAGAGAAAACAATCCAGCTTTGAGCAGGTTGGGCTTTCCTAGAAGTTAGTCCAAGTAAAGATGGATTGAAGTAATGGGAATTCCTTTAACTCACAAAGGTTGGGGTTTATTTAATTCCTCTACAAATCTAATTACATTAAAATCCCCACCCAAGCACCAAGGACCCTCCCATAATCCTTTAATTGCATAGAGCTCATCACATAACTCATTTCTCTCTCTATAGTTGTTGGGCCCATACACATTTGTTAGCACCCACACGAAGCCATCCTCCAGGTTCCCAAGTTTCAAAGAAATTGAGAAATTGCCTATTAATTCCTCCAGAGCTTCCACCACATCCTCTTTCCTGAAAGTCCCCCCGAGGCACCCCAAGCGGGTGCATAAGTCCATCTCACTCCTCTCATCTTCCAAACACTCCTTACCCACCTTCCACCTAACTCTGGTAACTTAGTTTCCCCTTTCTCAAAGCGGGTGCATAAGTCCATCTCAGGCTTTTCTCTTCTCAACAAATCCTTTATTAGCCTTCTTTTGCTAGCACTTCCAAGCCCCCTCACATTCCAACTAACTATTTTCATTGGCAACACATATAGAAGACTAATTTCAGTCACTCTCCCCCACTACTTGGAACTCTTCCTTCTCTCCCCTCTCCCACTAAATCCAATGTCCCCCTCAATATCCAAAATCAATCGCTCCACTTCTGATCTTTTTGTTTTTCTTTCCCTTCCTTCCCTTCTTTCCCTTCATTGTCCTCAAGGACTCTTCACCTGTTATCTTCTCATCCCCTTTCTCAAAGCCATAAGGAATCAATTTTGTATTAGTTTTTTGTTCATTGTTGTGTGAGGGGCTGTTCCATTAGAAGGAAATCAATTTATTTTGTATCAGTTTTTTGTTCATTTGTTGTGTGAAAAAACAGGCTGTTCCATTAGAAAATAGGTGTGAAATCAATTTATTTTATACCAGTTTTTAGTTCATTGTTGTGTGAAAAAATAAGGGCTGTTATTAGAATGAAATCAATTTATTTTGTATCAGTTTTTTGTTGTTTTTTGTTCATTTTTGTGTGAAAAAACAGGGGCTATTATTAGAATGAAATCAATTTATTTTGTATCAGTTTTTTGTGTATTATGTTCGTCCATAAATTTTTTACTTAATTAGCCTTTTTAATATCATTAGTGTTAGTGGAAAGTGGATGTGAATCAGATTTAGTGAATGTCAATCAGATTTTGTTCATGCCTTCGTGTATGATCTATGATGTATCATTTATCATTAGTGAATCAGATTTTGTTCCCTTTTATGTTCATTATTTGTTTATTTGTGTTTGTTAATTAAGTTAATTTGTTGTTTTCATTGACTCATTGCCCATTAGTATTTGGTTTTATTTTCATTAGATAATGGCAAATGAGGGAAACCAAAACACTTCTAACACTAAGAATAAGGCTCAGTCAAAAGATCCAGCATGGAAATATGCATATTGGCATGATTTAGAGGACAAAAATGTTATTACATGTTCCTTGTGTGGAAAGATTCTCAAATGACGAATTAAGAGAATAAAACAACATTTAATTGGAGGATTTGGGGATGTTACCAAGTGCCCAAAAACTACGAGTACTGCAAAGGAAATGCAAATACATGTGCAAAAATAAGAGGAATAAATCGTTAGATGATTTCACAATGGAGGACACTTGTGGGTCATGGGAGCAAATGGTTTCTGAGAGGAAATTTTCACCATGAAAGTAACCAACCTATGGAAGTAGGTGGCTCCATTTCAACTAGTAGGAATGCTCAACCATTAAACCCCATATTCTCACAAAAAAAAGAAGGAAAATGTTAAAGGACCCATGGATGCTTTTGTGAGGCCAAGTCCACAAGAAGTGGTAGAGGCAAGGCACAAGGGACACTTGATGCAAACAAGCATAGAAAGCTGATTGAAAAATGAAGAAAGAAAAAAGGTGAATGAATATGTTGCAAAGTGGTTTTATCAAGTTGAAATACCCTTCAACACAGTAAAGTTGAAGAGTTTTGATATTATGGTGGAAGCAATTGCACAATTTGGGTCTAGGTACAAACCTCCAAGTTACCATGAGCTAAGAGAGCCACCCTTGAAAGAGGACGTTGAGAAAACAAAGTTGCTTTGCAAGAAGTATGAGGCCTCTTGGAGAACTTATGGTTGCACTAGTATGTTTGATGGATGGACAAATAAGAGGCAAAGATTGATAAACTTTTGGGTGAATTCTCCTGAAGGTACCTTCTTGAAATCAATTGATGCCTCCAATGAAATCCACAATGCAGCTTACTTGTATGAATTGCTTGATAAAGTTGTTGAGGAAATAGGAGAAGAACATGTGGTGCAAGTGGTTACTTATATTCTTGCAGGTGACCTTTTGAAGATAAAGAGAAAGAACTTATTTTGGACTTCTTGCACTGTTCATTGTTTGGACCTCATGTTGAAGGAGGTTGGAGGATTGAAGTCTACTACTAAGAGTTGCATTACCAAGGCAAGATAGGTGATGGCCTCTATCTACAGACATCCTCTTCTCCTTGCTTATATGAGGGAGAAAACACATGGAAGTGATCTTGTTAGATGTGTTGTTACAAGGTTTGCCACATCATTTCTTACATTGCAAAGCCTATTCACTTTCAAAGAGCCATTGCGTTCTTTATTTGTTAGTTATGTGCGGAATAAAAGTAAATGGGCAAACAAACTAGAGGGTTTAAGAGTTTCAACTACCATTCTTTCTGTTACATTTTGGAAAAATGTAAGGATTTCCCTTTTAGCTTCCCAACTAATTGTGGATGTCCTACGGTTGGTTGATGGTGATAAAAAAACCTGCAATGGGGTACTTCTACTTTGTAATGGAACGAGCAAGACAAAAGATAAAAGCAAATTTTGGTGGGAAAGAAAGAGAATATAAGCCCATTTTGGAAATTTTTGGCAGGCATTGGAATAATATGATGCAACATCCTTTGCACCTTGCTGATTTCTTCCTCAATCCAGCCCTCTTTTATAAAGCTAAAGCCGATGATAAAGCATCAATTGGGAAGTTTAAGACGGGCTTTATAGATTGTATTGAAAAGGATGGTGACTGAGATTTAAATTCAAGATAAGATCTCCCATCAAATGGAAGATTATAAGCATGCCCATGGTGCATTTTCTAAGGAAATGGCAATTAGACAACAGGAAACAAAAAAACCAAATAATATCTACCTCTAGAATCTTATGGTTAATTCATTAATTTTTTTTTTGTATTGTTATCTTTGAATTTGTATTCTCTAATTTAATTTTTTCTCTATTTGTAATTTGTACTTTTTAGTTTATTAGTGGCATACTTATGGACATTTTTTTATCAATAACAACTTCATAAATTTCATTCAAATATGAGAGGAATAGTTACATCAAGGAAGACAAACACTCTTGTCTTCCAAAGACAGCTTAAGTCCTCAATGAAAGAAAGGAAAAAAGAAGTAATGAATAAACCATAGGTGTTGGAATTTTAAAATGCTAGTTTTCTTGAGTTTTTACTTTTCCTATGCTTTTCTAAGCTATTTTATTGGTTTTGTGTGCTAACTAGCAAGCATGTACACTAACTATTAACACTATAAATCATCCAAATGAGTACAAATTTCATATAAAAAGCTAAAAACATAAAACACTATCAATTTGAATCGCCACCCAACCTTAGGTCGGGTCAAAAGCGGGTTGAAAGCACTGCTTCATTCCCTAGAGCCTACTCCCTTGTAAGACCACCATCCACCCCTCTCCCTTTCTCTTTGTTGTGCTTAGGATCCATATCCACAAGGGTTTGGCAACTACACTTAAACATATGAAAATTGGGTGAAATTGATGTCATACCTAATGTGCTATCATATCAACAAGGGTACCTAGAAGTTTAGGATCGAAAGAAAACCAAGCTATAGTTAACACATTTAAGAGAAACAGAAAATGAACATAAACAAAGAAACAATACTTTAGAAGACTCACTTCTTTAGATAGAAGGAGTACTTTTTGAGAAGGCCAACCTCTAATCTTACACAACAACTCAAATCTCATTATTCATGAACAAGAAAACCTTGTAGATCTCATAATTGATGCATGGAGTTGCACCAAAGAGAAAATGCTTGCAACTTAGAAACCAATTCCACATTGTCTAAAAGGAGAATTATAGTGGTAAATGTAAAGCTTACAAGAAAATCCCTTTGGTATCTCCCCAAGTTCCAGTTTTGGAGAGTAGTCATTACCCAAACCCAATCATTTTTGGTATGAAGCCACCATTCTCAGACTCAACATGTTCCCATGCTTGTTAGATCAAAATTTTACCATTGCATAAATGCATAATAAAAATCATAAAGATTTATCTAAAGATTATTCTAAATAAAGACCAAGAATAATCCTAGGAAACCTAAAGGTTATCTAAACAAATCCGTGCATATCTAATAAATTTTAAAAACATTATATTCTAAATACTGGAGGTGGGGTACTTGACAGATTTAAGTAATATTTGTCCCAATTCATGGATTAGCTGGATGTGGGCCCAGTGTACCCTAAATAATGTCCCATCCAAAGGCTCAACCTCAGCCATCTTGAAACAAAATGTTAAACCCATCTTAAGGCTCGTATTCGCCACTTAATATTTTGCACCTGCACATGTAAGTCTTAATAAGGGCATCTCCATCATACTATATAATTAGATGGTTGGGAAAAAAAATAATAACTTCCATCCACACATGAGAGCAATTAACACAAACTGGTAAATCTCAAAAGCAATGTCAGTAGATGTTACTCTCACAAGCACTCAAAGTAACAGACCCAAGTATGTTGAAACGTGCAAAAGGATAACCAAATAATATGAAAACCCTCACAACATAGTATCTTTCATAGTGTAAATAAGTCAGGAAATTTTCAGATAATATGCTTACCTCAAAACTTTGTTAATATCCTCTTCCTCATCTACATGTTGCATTGCAGCAATCAGGTTCCCACGTTTCAGCTCCCTGAGGGTAAGTTGGCCATTTCCTGACCTATTTATGTAGTAAAATATTCTGTATATAACAGTTTCAGCTGATCATAGCAACAGAAATTGAGATTAAAATTCATAATAAGAATCACAAATGCATGAGAAAGGAAGGTAATAAGGTATATTACGGCTTAATTTTTTTTCTAACGACTCAGAAGTCAGAACGCATCAACAAATTAACAAACATACCATATCTTTCCTGAAACTCAGGTGTGCTTTGTAAGAACTCCAACCCTGGATGAGATGCTAAAAGTTCTCTAAGAACTGGTTTAAAATCATCCTGCAATCAAGATGAATAGATTTACAGAAGAGCAGAGATAATGCCCTAATAAAAAAACATCAAAATCAGTGCTTGAAAACAAAAAAAGATCTGATCCAAAGGAAGCTTATGTACTGAAGCAGACAGTTCCAAGCTCACTATATGACAAAGAACTATTGTTTTTTTTTTATGAATGACAAAGAACTATTGTTGGTGCAATGTATAAATTCAAGGAAACAGAAAAAAGAACCTGAGTAAGATATTTGCGATCTGGTTGCTTTAAGATGGTAAATATCTGGGTTGCTATGTCCATTGTCAGCATATTGCCATTGACCCAATAATCGACAAATGTATCCCTACAAAAATATCAGGCGGGTGCAGTCAATACTTCTAATACTTCTATGAAGACAAAATCAACCAACAGCAATTTAAAGAAAGCTTGTCACCTAACAGTTGACTCCCAAAAGTAACACCTATTTTTTCCTAGTAAGCCCGTTAAATTCAGAGACGAATAGAAGAATATAACGATGTGATTTTCACTGAATTTAATTGAACTGTAAATATTGGATACATCAGACAATTAAATTAATTAATCAGTCTAATTTTCTATATAAGCAATATTTTAGCCAGGGCATATCTAATAATCTATGTATTTCTTAAATAACCTAGAAAATGAAAGAAATAGAAATAGTTTGTTTCTGACCAAGGTTTGAGAACAGAAATAATGTTCCCCTAAGAAAAGAAAAAAGGAAACCTCCAGCAGCACCGCAAACCTATTAACTATTGAGGAAGGCTGACTTTTGATGAGGTTTTGAACTAGGGAGAACATGGTATGGATTTATTTTGTTATATTTTGTTTCAGCATCACCTTGGAACTTCGGATTAAGGCAGTTTTGTTAGTAAATATGTCTGTTTTTTCTTTATGATTTTTCAGGGCTTTATAGTTTAATTGTTCAAGGCGTCTTTACATTTGATTTTCCTCAGTTCTTTTTCCCAGATGAGTAAAAGGGAGTCATGATTTCCTAAGTCATATTAGCAGGTTCTTATTGTACATTTGCACTCTATCATGTTTTGCAGCGTGTTAACATTTTATTGTTTGAAACTATTTCCCATCATCTTTTATTGTTAGTAAAATCTCAGTTACTGTCATAGTTGTCAAGACGACATCTATAGGTGGGTGCCTAGGCAACAAGACGCCGTTGGAGGCTCGCCTCACCTAATTGACAAGTAGCTTTGTACATTGTGTTATAAAATACTATTATATTCCTAATTGTTTGAGATTATAATTATAAAATAGACATTATTAAACTAAAATGTTCATTTTGTGTGTGTGTGTTTCGAAAGATCAATGGAAAACTCATTAAACATAAAAAAAGGTCGTATAACTCAAGAAGATGGTTGTCTAGATGACAAACCAACTACAAAACAAAAATGACACTGAAAAGAATCAAATTACAAGGATTCAACTCCAAAGAACTCCAGAAATTCTCAAACAGATCAGACTCATTCACTTGAACAAACTCAGGAAGACAGAGAGCCCAAACTGCCATCAAAATACCCATTCCTGCAATCAAAATTTCAATGCTCCACCCATTCTCCTCCCTCCTAATCTCTTACCTTCTCTCAAACCCCTCACAATCCAGCTAAGAAACCTCATCTTCCTCCCCCCCCTCCCTGTCTTCCCACCAACCCCGAGTTCACTCAATTTCATCCAGTCCCTCCTCTTCTCCCCCTTCCTCATCCCACCCCTTGATTTTTTCTAGGTATTCCTCCCTTCTCTTTTCTTTTTTTCATACTTCTCAAATGCTATTTTCGTGAATCCTTCTCCTCCCCAAAAAACTAAACCAAGAGACTTTCCTATCTCAACCTCCCTCTCCACCAATTTATTAATATTCACCTTCCCATTTTGAACGATTTCCTTGACTTCTTGGTCCTTTTATATCTGTTCTGCTATTCCTGTCCTCATCAACTGTGACCTCTCTTTCCACTAATTTCTGGAGAGGCACACAGCCAGAAACACCCTCCTTATCCGCACCAGATTGTAACAACAAAATCTCTTCAGCAACAGGACCATCATCAACACTCACCTTGTCTTCTTGTTGTTCCTTCCTCAAATGGGAACCCGAGAATTTAGCCTGCATCATCAACCCCTTAAGATCAGGTTCAGCAGACCCACTACCTTTCGCACCTTTTCTCCTATAGACCCATTTATAATTCTTTGGTGGTCCTGTTCCAACAAGACCAAGCTTCAACCTGGAAAAGATTTTCGTCACATGCACGACATTACGAATTCTTAAACTACATGGTTTTTTGACAGTCACCTCAGAAGATGCCTCCTCCTCCTCCTCCTCGAAGTTGCTTCTTCAACCAATATCTACATCCAGCCTCCTAACCTTCACTTCCTAAAAGCAATGATTGTCTTCCAAACGACTCTCCTCCTCACCGCCAACAATGGCGCCACCATCTGTAATCTCCTCTTCTGTGGTCACAGTTACAGCCTCAGAATCAACATCTGAATTAGTGATTCCATTCCCAACCGCTTTCAAAACCTCCTCCAACTTCCCCAACCCCTTGGAACCAACCTCCACAGTACCCAAAGAAGCTGGGATTTTGATTTCATAACCAGAATCTTCGGAAATCACATCTGCATTTGGAAGGGGAACAAACCCACAAGCACAATATCAGCCTATGAGCAGCAGCAGACGCCACTCTCCATGAAAGAGGCCTGATCATCAACAACACTAACCCCTGCTCCTCCAACCACAATCCCTTATTTCCATATTTATCATACCTGGCAATCACCTCCCTTCTCTTCCCAGCCTCCGACGCGAAAGACCTTCCAAACATCCTGAACCTTCTAAATCTTGATCTGTTGAGGCCTAAGATCAACCTCTTGTCTTTTTTACCTTTCCTAAACCGACTATCAAAGCAGCCAGTATTCAAAACCTTAACTTCATTCCAGCCTTCTTTTGGGCTCAACGTCTTCAGATGAACTGACTGGATGAAGTATGACGACAATGATAGACAAGGGTTATAATCCATAAAAGGATCCCCTTTTGCACAAATGCCAAATCGGGAGAACCTAAATTCTCAAAGACACCATCCTTCCTACCTGGGCCCACATCTTGAGGTGACTCAGCAACCATTGGTATCAAAGTAATTGGGCCCCCCTCTTTTCCAATCCTCAACTTACAACGAGACAGACCCCCTACCGTGTCAGAATTAGGTAAACGGACCCCACCTGGCGCTGCTTCGGCAATTATCTTTTCACTTGCCCCTTCAACAATTTCTAGGCCCACCTCAGGTTGGACCCCCATCTCTCACTATCCTTTAAATGACACTGTCTTAAAATCCTTCACCAGCGCCACACAATTAAACTTCTGTCCCTCCACGTGTCTCACCCTTCCAACTTCCAAACCAACCTCAGTAGGATCTAAGGGTTGCAGGTCTATCTTGGGGCCGGCCCTCTTAATAATCCCTTCTTGATTTTTCAACTTCCAAATGCTACCGCAAAGCTCAAGACCCAACTTACCACATCCATTAGTGAGGACCTTTTCCAAAATTCCAAACATACCATCATCTTCAACCTTTAGACTGAACCGATTAAACTAATCATTCACCTTCCTCTTCTTCTCAGCAGGAACCAAAGAAGCTTCCTCCCTCGCCTTTCCCCAAACTCCCATATTTAGAACCCACCTTAATGGATAAGATCCCTCAACAACAAGTCTCATATCGAAAATCTCTCTAGCGAACCGCAACGACAACGATGAAGGAACACGATGAACTTCTTCCACTTCAACCAGAACGTGTGCACAAACCAGATTCTTCCACGAACTAGTTCTAGGATCAACAGACCCAAATCTCCTACAAGCCTCTCCCATTGTTTCAGACGTCTAGAAACGCCATGCATATAGAGGAATGTCGTAAATGTTTATCCACACCAGACTCATCGGACCCAAATCTTTGAAAGCTCCAACTAATGGATTCCATCTCTCAATCCTCAGTTCAGGAGAATGGACCTGAGATTGTCTACAACTCTACGTATCATGGTTTCATACACCTTGTTTTCGAAAATGAATAGGAAGAAACCAGCATTCATTTTCCTTACTTGAAAGGAGTTAGTAGGTCTCCATACTGCGATTGCCCACTTCTTCACAACTTCTTCGTCTAGGTCCAAATTGACAAATCAACCCACTAAACTCCTTTTCAGCAAACTTAGATGTCCAAAAGCACCCCTGTTTGAAGTCACGCTAACCTCCATCTTCTTTTGACTAAACCTTCAAATGATAGATGCAGTAATACCCAAACAGCTTGTTCCTACAATGCTCTTTGTGTGTTTTTTACTAATTTCTTTTTGTTATTTTCTTATTTGCCAAGGTTTAATCAACACAGACATTGCTAAATGCTGTATTGAACCCTCAAAGACTTCAGAACCTGAACCAATAAGTAAGGAAGAGCTTAAAATTTTGTCTAATCAACACTTCTTCTTCTTCTTCCACCTATATTCTTCTTTTCCTACAACAAAAATTGGGGTCCAGCCCTATATTTTTCGAATTTTCTTTACTTTCCTCTTTTTCTTCTCATGAATATGTTGATTTTCTATACTTTTCTTATGAAAATTATGGATAACTATTAAGGAAATATGGTTATGTAACCTAGGGAACTACCCTAGGATATAAGTTTTTTACTTATAAAAATCCATTACTAAGGCGACTAGGCGACAAGATGCCCCCCTGTCACCTAGCCTCGCCTTGGTGCCTTGAAAACTATGGTTACTGATTAGGTAAAAAAAACATTTCAATTACCAAATGCAAAAAAAAAAAACATTTAATATACTGAACTCTTTCACGATGTTAATCACCCACTCCACCACCAACAAAATTGAACTCTAGGTGGCAAAATTGAGCAGCAATGGGTTCACCCAAAAAAGAGCAACTATGTAAGTGAAACAAACACTATCAAGATTATGTCATTTCCTATTCAAGCAGGTAATTAAAATATCTTTCTTTGACTCACAAATCCATTGATGTGAGACTTGTTCTTTTAACAATAACAGAATTACCTTGTCACAATCCCAATGCAACCAGTGTCAATCTTTCTGAAAAGAGCACTGGAAAAAAATGATGGTAGCTTGCATATTTCCTTTGTAACTGCCTTGAACTCTGCCATTACAAAATATGGAAAGCTTATCCCACATCAGGAAAAAAAATAGCCAAAATTCACACCCCAAAAAAATTCAAAAATATCTGAATTTACCATGCTCTTAGCAGGGGAGGGGAAACAATCAGGATGCTGATTGTTTAGGGGTCTTGTGCATGTAGAAGAAATGTAAAAAACAAGGGACTGGGCTAGGTAATGTTACAGATTAAAAACCTATTCATGGACCTCGCCATCTCAAGGAACTGTTCAACCTAAAAACTTAAGCTGTTAGGTGAGGTCCATGAATATGTTTTTATTCTCTAACACACCCCCTCACGTGAAAGCCCATTGGGCTTCAAGCATGGACAAGCACAGGCCCATACCTTGTGCTTAAATTTAATTAATTATAATGGGGGCGACGAGGATCAAACACTAGACCATTTGATCAAACAGGCTATGATACCATCTCAAGAAACCGTTCAACCTAAAAACTCAAGCTGTTAGGTGAGGTCCATGAATGGGATTTTATTCTCTAACAGGTAGCTGATGCCAGCCATGCTTTTTTTTTTTTTTGAAAAAGAGGTAAAGTAATTTTATTAAAGAAAACATACATCGAGAGAGGCCATAGACAGATTTATTCAATGAATAAAATTCTAATAGTTGCCAATAAAAAAATAAAGACCAGACCACTAAGACATACGACTCACCATGAACCTGCAGTCCATCCATGTGACCAGAAAAAAGCTGATCAATTCTAGACAAGCATTGCTCTTTCAGTTCTTTCGGAGGAGGCCGGCCATTCTTAAAGTAGAACTGCAATCATTTTAAGTGCTCCATCAAAAATCATCTCCTAAATACTGTGAGATCCAGTCCTTCCAAGCTTAAGCACAGAATAAACCAGTATCCCCATCCAGAGTCGATCATTACCTGAGGAATAACTTCTCTCACAGGCTCACTGACTAATTTTAGTGGAGAACCAAAAGAAGAAGGCCCCGTCCTCTGTTTCATGACACGTGGTGAACCTGATGTGCTTCTTGGTGAAAGTGGAGGTGCACTTCCAGCAGGAAACATGGAAGGCAATGAATTGCTTGCAGCAGCATTTGGACTAGTACAACTGCCAGGGACATTTAAGGCAGCACCCGCCTTCACATCATCAAGCAAAGATTTTACCTGCACGATTCACAAAAAACTTTCAAATAAGAAAATTCTTAATAAACATCATCAGTACCTTTTTCCCCACTATCTGCCAGTGAAATCAATCCCATCAAGTTAGAGCAACATTTACAATTTTTTATTGATGAAAAATCAAAATTTTATTAATTGTGTTAAGAAAACTATACAAAATATGAAACATGCCCAGCACTCCTTTTCACAGTTTTAGTCTAGCACCTTGATACCTACTCTGTGAGTCTCTATATTCTGTTTCTTTCTACATAATGCAATCTGACCCCTAGGTGAACCTCCCCAAAACAAAGGATTTCTTTTGTACTCCTCGTCTGATCAGAGCATCAGCCAGATTATTGGCTGATCTATGAGTCCAAGCAAGTGTCTCACTTATCTTATTATGAATCTATAGAGCCACAAGAACCTAGACAATCACTTAAGCATTTCACCTATCTACATTTAGTATGTAGGAATCTTTTCTCAAGGAAGAAGCTTTTATACTAGACTATAATATTCAAACAACTGTAAATTGTCAAAACTAAATGTTGAAACATGTTACTTGTATATAGGGGAATGAATAATCCTCTATGTTTACCGAAAAAGAGAACTCAATTTGCAGGAGTTGGGATCAATGCACTCCTTGGATATACAAAGGCTACAAGTGCAGGTAATTCTCAGGTAGTTATCAGTTGGATCATGGGTGAATCATGGGAAGAGAGACCTTGGCGTATCTCATTCACTTGGATCAGCAATTTAGTAAATGGTTTTGGAACAGATTTTTCTTTTTTTTCTTTTTTTTTTTTTGAGGGGGGAAGGAGGGGTCTAGAATAGGGACTCATGGCCCTTTTGTTATTGTATTTTAGCATATAGTCAGCCATGGAAGGGTCTAGTCATTCAACATGTTATACTCTCTATTCTATACTCTTCGCTGGTTTATTAATGAAGCTGCTTGTTGCTAACCAAACAAAAAAAGAACTTCTAATTGACCAATGAGGTGTAGACTTCGAGCCAAATCAAAGTTGAAAACCATCTTTAAGTTTGACTTAAGTCAAGCATAGGCACATTTTTTTGGAGTACCCTACAAAAGCAGATATTACCTTTGCAGTCCTGTCCACTACAGACCTCTTATCATGAAAGGACAAGACATAACACCACTTAAACCCCTGTATTTGCATAAAGTCCCCTTTTATGATTTGACATCTTCATGACAGATAAGGCATGACGCACATAGCTCTCCTGAGAAAGAAAAGATACAAGTGCCCATAATTTAACAATGGATATGGCACTGAACAGAATAGAATGGCATAAACAGGAGTCATGTAGCCAACCCCATATAGTTGAGACAGGGATTAGTTGGGATAATGAAAATTCTGAGGAGGTAGAATATCTTTCATGCATTGCGAGTTCAAGGGAACTGTGATTGAAGTCTTTGAGGCTGTTTGAGCACGGTTTTGTTTTCCAAAAGTTCTGTTGACATTATTTTGGAGCTGGAATCTGTGTGGTTTGTCTAGGAAAGGAAGTTTTTATGGGTAGTTCCAGCAGAAGTGACGCGGTCAATCTGGACAGAGGGAAATAGGAGGCTTTTTGAAAATAAAGTCAGCACAGTAGACAGTCTTAAAAGGTTGTTGGGGAAGAATATACTCTTGGGTGTGCTGATCAAAAAAAAAAAGGAAAAATAAAAAGAATATACTCATGGGCGGCAGCACACAGGATGTTCAAGAATACACCTTATAACTCTTTTTTATTCTAGTAACCTTTTTGTATCCAGTTGATTGAAATGGGGTTTTTCGTTTGTACAAAGAAAATACTTGCCCTGCCCAGTACCTTCTTGTGCAGGGCAGCAGGGCTTTGTATATGTTTTGTGTTATCAACATAATGAAATATTTTACCTTCTCCCAAAAAGATGATACCGCTTATCAAAGAAAATGATGATAGTGATTCCTTGCCATGGAAAGATGATACTTATACCAGTAGCTATTGTGTGGATACCCCAATATAAGACAGGATTCTTTTTTTGTAAGCCTTGAGGGTGGGATTCAAAAGTTGACTTGCAACCAACTTGTCAGATCCCACATCAGAATTGTACAAATCAGACAAATTTACATTTTCACCTATCCAATCAACAAGCTGAAGCACCCCACAAAAAAGTACTATTGGGAGAAACAGGAGCCAAAGAGAGAGATTTAACAATATTATTTGAAGAAGAGAGTGAGACCTGGCCTAATCTTCACAAGAGAATCAGTGATTTTCTCTTCTAGAAATTGGACCTCACCTAGTAAATTGGAACTCATATTCTACTTGTATAAATATGAGTTTGCAGTAAAATAATTCCATTGCAGTAGGCCGCATGCCCTGTTACCCAGGAAAAGGACTGCCTTACCATGTGCACAGAAAGCATGAGAGAAAAGAAGAATCTCTTGTTACTTGATTAGAGTATATTCTTCTTTCCATATTATCATTGCCAACGGAGATTTTCTCCTCCCTACTTCTCATGTCCTCATGTTCTTCATTCCCAAATGAAAGGTATAGTCAGTGAAATATTTGAATTAAGGTAAAGTCAATGCATCATTTCTTCTCTTCTATAAAGGCTGCAAATTTTTTATCTGGTAACTGAAACTTTTATTGATTTGAGAAAAGAACAGGTATATACAACGGTAAAGTTGGCATCCCTCTGGTCTTTTCTTTTCTTTTTTTTTTTATCAGCAACCCAGAAAACAGAATTTAATTAAAGATGAAAAGATACAGGATACAACCAGAAGTTGTGAAAAGAAAACAACCCCATTACAGACTTAACCTCCAAGGAATTACAATTGTACCCAAAACATCTATTGTCTCTGAACTCCTTGCTTAGCTAAACTATCTCCCAAACTGTTAGCAGCTCTTGTGATCCATCTGATTTGAACATTTATACCTTTTGAAAGCCATTTAAAGCACCTGATGACCTGAATTCATTTTGAAACTGCCAGCTCACAGGACCTCTACACCTTTTTTCCGGCCAACCCACCACAATCTTCGAGTCACCTTCAATGATCAGCCGACCAACTCCCAATTCCTTGGCTTTCTCAATCCCAAATACTGCTGCTAGAAATTCAGCTCTTACTGAGTCACCTTGTTCAATTGGGCCTGAAAACAAAGCACATATAGTACCATCATCATCTCTAAACACCCCTCCAATTCCTGAGGGGCCCGGATGACCTGCACTGCTACCATCAAAATTCAATTTCATCTAACCTTCCCCCTGGGGTGACCAAACCTCTGAACATTTTTGTTTCCTAGAGGAAGAGTCAGCTATAGCCCCTCAGCTCCTGAAAAGCCCTACACCTTAAAATCCAAAAAAAAAATTCCAAGGTCTTAACCCATTGAGCAACTCTAAAAGTAATGGTCTCTATCGCTGTCTCCTTACTTCTCTCCTTCCCTCCAAAGATTATTGTATTTCTTTCTTCCCAAACTGTCCAGACCGCAGCTGCTCTTGTACATCTCCACATAATCCCGCCACTCCTTTTTTGTGCACCTCAACACAGAAGGGCTAAACAACCTCTCCAGACTAGCAGGGGGAGCCATCTGCAACCAAAAAGAGAAAGAAACCGTTCCTAGATACAACAAACAAAATGACATGAGATTAAGAGATGAAAAGCAGCATCACCATTCAACTTGCATAAAACACACCAACTGGGGGACAAGGACCAATTTGGTCTTTTCCTCTGAAGAAAGTCACAAATATTGGTGCAGCCATGGACAACTTCCAAGCAGAAAGCACTGACCTTGGGTGGAATTGGGGAGCACCAATTCTCTTTAATAGGGAGGGAGGGGGGAGGAAGAGGAAACTAGAGACTTAAAGGAGGGCTTGGGCCTTATGCCCAATTCTTAGGGTTAGGCCTGGGTTGAACTTAAACCCAGCCCAGCCCACCCGACTTGCACCCCTAGACCTAGTCATGTGTATTCTAATCTGTGTCAAACCACCACCTTTTTTTTCTGAAGATAAATAAAGAAGAAAATTTATTGAGAACAAGAGCAAATTAGAAAACTAGATGATGAGGAATCACCACAAATAAAAGACAACGAAAAGAAAATACATTAGAACCCAACACCACCCAATCAATATTAAAAACAACTAACTCTCACATGGGTACCCGTCCCAAACAAAACAAAGTGAAGCAACCCAAATCCAAAAAACCTTCAAGCCCAACAACCAACCAAAACAGATCTCCAGTACCCAACACCAACCAAAGCCTCACCACCAACCAAAAAATACATCACTGCTCTTGTAACCTCCAAAGGAGGTTTGGGAGACAATAAATGTTTGTCCAAGAAATTCAAGGTTGAGGTCAGATGCATGAATTCCATTCTACCATTCCACCCCGTCCAATGCCATATCCATTGACCATTGTTAAATTACGGACCCTCAAATCATTTCTAACTACTCAAAATATTAGTAACGACTACTTTTACGAAGGAGACACACATGAAGGGATAGATACCATCCTACTCCTTGGCACATTTCACTAGTTTTGGCAACCTTAGGAGCTTCTTTCTAGCGAAAGGTTTTAATTTTAGTCGGGGTCGGCAATAACCACAATAACTTTACAATGAAAGGTTGAGATAGGGTGGCTGCATTATCCAACACTTAAAAAAGAGATGATAATGTCCCAAACAAATCAGATAATCAAACTCTAGAATCCTGCACACAGTCAAAAGAAAAAACAGCTTCAAGGAGACTAGCCACCTTAGCATAATCAAGATCCCCAAACCCCTCCTCAACCCAAAGTCCTATGGACTTCCAAAAGGGAACAGGAAGACCGAAGACCATACAAGAGAATTAAGATGTTCTTAATATGGGCAAGAAAAATAATTTTTGGCATCTGAATGACAATAGACAGCCTCCACACCATGGGGTTCTCCCAAAACTTGACTGGCAGGGAGTGGACAGAAGTAACAGTTTTCCAAGGGTAACTCAAAGTCATCTTGTTAGCTCATCTAGCATCCCACCCATTTTGGTGCAAACCATATTTGTTCTTGATAACCAAATAGCAAAGACTACTCTTCAGTGGAGAATCTCCCCAACATTCATCAAAAAAAAATAAGAAAAAAGAGAGAACCTTCCCAACCAAAGATTGGGAAGCTAGGTACCTATATTCTTAAGGCAGCCAAGCAATTTCCTAGGCATTTTAGCCTGGCAAGGCAAGTCAGTACCTAGGCTATATGTGCCACCTTAGAAAAAATAAATAAATATCTATTGTTTTTGTTTTTGTTGCTTTTGTTGTCTTTACCATTTTTATATAAAATGCATATGATATAAGCAAAGGAGGCTAGCCACCTCCATTCAAAATATTTACATGAATGATGTTGTTGAGGATTGGCCAATAAGAAATATGGACATTTCCCATGCAGGCCCACTATTATCCAATGACCTTCTTAAAGTGACTTTTAATTAATTGAATGTTACTTTGAAAACATGTCTTAGAAAGTTCGAATGACTGAACAATTTCCTCTCCAAACAGGGGATTTCTCATAATCTACATATAGTGGCCCCATGGTCCTGATCAAAACCATCAAAAGCAACAAAGTAAACCCTTAACAAAAATTAGCCCAAAATCAGTCATACTCCGAACCTTTGATGAGGCTTCCCTTCTTGAGAATTGTAGGCGTGAGACTTTACAAACAAAGACACGCATGTAAATAAATGTTACTTTGCACAAAACTTACACTCAAGAAAGTACCTAGATGGCATGCATCTTGCACCATAAAAAGTCTATGATATATATGCCATATTCCAGTAGCTGCATCAGCTTGCAATATAAAAGGGAATAAAAGAAGAAGGAAATACAGTTGATTCCTTAGCATCAAATATCTTGAACTTAAGGGGCAATGACAACAGAGAACGTGTATTGGCAATAGTTTTGTTAAGTTGGTGCTTAAGATGATAAATAATGGATTATCATGTCCACGAATATTCTAACTTAGATACAATATGTCTGTCTCATGGGTGTTGAGATCAACAATGATGTATCCTCCTCGTAATGAATTGCATTTTTCTTCTCTTTTTGTATCAGTCAGCAAAGAAGCAGATATGCATTGGTATAATGCTTTGCAATTTTTTACCGTCCTTAAGATGTATGCCATTATCACTGTGCTGCCATTGCATTCTTTATCCCCTATTCGTCCTAAAAAGTTATCCATTCCATTGCCAACAGGGACTAAATGGCATAGAAACAAAAAATGAGCACCACAAATAAACAAGGGCATTACAAAGAACAGCCTAGGACACGGGCATGCGACAGAGGCAACCAATGCCAGACAAAATTCATGATAGCCCGCCAAATTTTTCAAGGAAATAAAAGAATATCAAGGCAAATACCAGTCGACTGGTCTCTGGAAGTGAAAGCCACTGGGAAAAGAGCTCTTCTGCAAGGAGAGGGTTCGATTTAAGCGCCAAAGGAGATACCTCCGGAAGCTGAAGCAAGTCTGGGTCAAGGGAAGCCACGTCCCCTACGAGTTCCATATCCATCACAACACAATTCTATATATCATACAACCGCAAAACCAATACAGAAACCCTAGATCTCAACCCTTCTTGAATCAACAACCCTGCACGAAAAAAATTTAAAAAAAAAAAAACTAAACCTAATTTCTCGAACTCAAAAACTATACCCCCAACAATTCAAGGACTTAGATATCAATGTATCTCCTCGAAATTTAATCCATTTTTCTCCACCACCATAAAAGTAAAATTACCCATTCCTCAGATTGAAACCAGGCAAACCCTTCTCAAGACGCCAGATTTCCAGCTCAAAAGCTTAAACAAAATCTAGATCTTCAACCCTTCCCAAAGTCCCCTCCTTTGTTGCTGCTTCGATGTTTCATACATTAAAAACGAACCCCTGTAAATATATCCCCCTCCAAAATCAAAACCGAAGAAGTAGATAGAGCGGAACGCATGAACGCGACTCCACGGAATTTGTCTCAGAGATCGGATGCGATTTCACTGGGTTGTCGCCCTTTTTAGAGAATAAAATCGGAGCCTCGAAACCCTTGTCAAGAGGAAGAGGGAGAAGAAAGAAATACCCATCTCACGGAAGACTTACCCAGAGGCACCACTCTATAAAACAATAAAAAAAAAAAACAATAATTTGTTAAATGTTTACATGAGTCACGCACCTACGTATATTATACCAACCAGGCATCTTCTATGGCATTATAGGCTTCTAAATTTTTCCATCTTTTCACTCTCACTCTAAATTTGGAATTTGAATAAGAAAGCTTTGTAAAATAGGTAAATTTCAATACTTTGTTTATTAATAATAACTATTTTTATATGAAATTTTCTCTTTTATAACTGATACTTTTATTAAAAAAATGTTAAAGTGATTTAATTTTAATTGGAAAAAAACAGATTCAATTGTAGTGGTGATCTATTGATGAATAAAAACAAGCTTATATCATTTCAATTTTCAATTGCCATTTATAAATTGTGTGTAAATGATAATTGGGAATTTGTTTTATTTTATATCAGAAGCAAGGATGTTGATATCTGATTTTGATGATAAATTATTTAAATTTTATGGTCAATTCAAGCCTATTTATTGATGATTTATTAATAATTCAAGAAAGGAAGCATTCAAACCCACTTTGGTTTGTTCTATCAATCAATGGCTATAAATGTTGTGTACAGGTGACTTCTTTTCCATAAATAATATAACATGTTCAGTATTTAATTCTAATGATAAAAAAGAAATATTTAAGTTTGGACAATTGGATTAATTATTTTATTGATAATTGATTAAGCCAGTAAAAAAGCAAAAACCATGCTTTGCATCTCAATTTGCTATTCATAACAAACATTTGCAATTATATTTTATCTGAATTAATCATTATCAAAGATTAAGACCGTATAGTCTAGCTAGGGCTGCAACTTTGACAACCTGAGCCCAAATCCAATCCAACCCGAGTTTTTGTACTGGTTGGGTTTGAGTTTTTGAACAGCAAGGTAAATCTGGAAAAAAAGAAAAGAACTCAATCATGCCCTAAACCAGCCAAATACATACATGCATTTTATTTATAGAAAAATATATACTCTTTAATTATGTGTATATATCTAATATTATATAATACCCTTACTTAGTTTACATGAGCAATTATCGTACAAGGTTAATACTTACAAAGTACAAATGTTAATTGTCTAAGTATTTTAAAATTCACATTCAAACAATGAATTGAGACATCTAAACAAATACATTTAAAACTGAAATATTAAATATCTTATCAATGTTTTTATCATTCAATCTTTATTTGCACACATGCATAAGATGAAATTTGTATGTATATTCAATCGATTCTACTACTAATTTGGACCATAAAGCCCAATAAAAAGATGATTACATATAAATGTACTCATAAATTCTTTCAAATTTGACTAACCCACCTAAGCCCAATTAAACTTGGCCTGACCCAACCCAAACATAGCCTAGTTTAAGTTGTACTTGTATTGGTTAATTTTGGGTTGGACCGGTTGACCCTCAACTCAACCCAACATTGGGCCATGGCAATTTTTTTTTTTCATAATCTCTAATTTTAATGATAATCACTAATTTCTTCAAATGGGCACTTGTACGCTTGTTTTATTCATATTATTGAACTTATGCCAGAAATACATGGCACGTAAAAACTCATAACCTATCATAAAACTGATAACTAATCAAGTGGGTTTTCATAAAAATGAAAAATTTAAAGGGAGAGTTTGATTGGTCAAAAACTTTATGACTCCATAGACTTTTTTTTTTCATATTTATAATTCCATATTTTTACCAACATATAAAAACTTTTATTGTCTTTCCACTTATTGGATCTAAATTCTCATTAGCATTTGTCGTTTTCATAAAATCTTCAATTCAAATTATATGCAATCAATCGTTTTCCATATTGAAATTATATGAAAAGTAGAAAAATAATTATAACATAATATTGAAATTAATAATAATTAAATATTTTATAAAATTAATAATCAAATAACTTTAATAATAATTAAATATTTTTATATAATATTGTAGGTAATTAATTTTACTTATATCAATTAATAATTTGAGAAAATAACTTTCATAAAATTAATATTTATTAATAATAATTTTAAACTCTTAATATATTTTTGTTATATAATTATATATTCTAATGCTAATATTTACTGTATTTCAGTAATTATTTATTGTTTTTTGTGATAAATGTATTTTCAATAATTATGTATAAATTTATTTTTGTTTTGTTATTTATCAAAAACTTTCAATAATTATTGGAGATTAAACTACTATTATTGAAACTTTTAAATTTTGTTTATTTTTCTTATTGTATTTATTGTACTTTTTATATAACTTGTTGATTAATATTTATATATATCAATGGCCAAGTCATCTGATTTTGGTCGATTTACAAATGGCCAAAGCGAAACTGATCCAATATGGTCAAGTCAAGTTGATCGGGTTGGTCGGTTTCATCAATTTAATGAATAAACCTAACTAAAATTAATTATTGTTATTTATGTATTATAAAAAATTATTAAAAGTAGTATATAAAATATAAACAGTTATTAATTATTTAAAAATTTAGAAATATAATATAGTTGTATACTCTTATGTGTTTCTATTAGGGTCATTTAGTTGAACACACCTTAGAGTTTTACATATTTACTTAAATCTATCTTATAGTTTTCATTTTAATAAATTATCTCATATAATTTACAACTTATTTACTTAATCAACCTTTCATTAAGGAGTGTTTGTTTTGCCATTAGGGCCATGATTTTTTATTCCAAAAATACCCTTATCACTTTTTTTATAGAAAACAAAATTGACCAAATATAGCCAACAGAGTGGTTGCTCGTGCCTTATTAGGGGCAAAAATGGTATTTTTATTTTTATTTTCTTTTGATAAAATTTATTTAAATGAACATTAGGGTTGACATTGTCATTTTCCACTGTCATCTAATGGAAGATTGATTAAATCCATAGCAAATTATAAGTGGTGTTTTAGTAAAATACAAACTATAGGGTAAATTTTAGTAAATCAATGAAACTATAAGGGGTGTTTTAGTTAACGACCATTTCTATTATTTAACTTTCACATAACAAATCCCATGCATCACACGTGTCCCCACTAGTTTATTAGTATATATTAAAACAAAGATGGCCCTGTTAGATGCCCCCTCTTTTACCCTTTTTTCCAATCATAGTTTCCCCCACATTTCCTCTCTCTCCCCTCAAAATACTGTTTTTTATTCTCAAGGAGCCACCTCATCAAGGCCTCTTTCTATTTACCACCTCTAATTCAGATAAAGGTATTTATCTAATTAAGACACACTCTTTCAAAAAATTTAGAGTACATATCTAGCAGGGAAAAATCAGGCACGACTCTTTAGACTCCCAAGTCCCGCCCTTCATAATCTTAACTAATGTAGGTGTGTCCTTATCTTTCTCTCTCTCTCTCTCTCTCTCTCTCTCTCTCTCTCTCTATATATATATATATACTAAAGTAGAGCTTGCCATGTAAGAAGTTCTCTCCTTGCTCTCTTACCCAAACCGAGCAATTCTAGAGGGGGTGCAAAATTCCCTCTATAAGCACTAGGAGTTGCCACCTAACATGGATTATCTCCTCTTTTTTTCCTTACATTTTTATTAGGAAACTAACTATCCCCCACTTTCTCCTAAATTATCTCTATCTTTCCCTAATTCCTATTTATCTCCTAAATTATATCTAATTCCTATTTATCCTCTCCCTCACTTTTCATCCATATCTATCTAAAGAAAGTTTCAATTAAAATATTTAATAATTATTTAAATATAATAATTAAATTATGTAATAACTTTAAAATATTTATTAAAAACACAAAAAATAATTATAATAGGTTTAATAATATTCATATTATTAATAATTTTATATTTTTATGAAATTCATAATGAAATTATGTAATAACATTAAAAATTTAATTCTATGGATTATTCAATTTAATAACTAAACAATATTTTAAAAAACACAAACAAAAAATATTAAAAATAGCTAAATAATTATATAACAAAATATTTAAAATTATATAATAACTTGAAAGAAATAAAATTTAAATAACAAAAAATATTAGAGATCTTACATATTATTTTAATATTTAAATAATGAAATATTTAACACAACTAAGTTTAAATAGTTAAAATAACGAAATTATGTAATAAATTTAAAAATATATATATATATATATATTAAGAGTATAATAATAATTATAATTTCATTGATTATTTTAATTTAATAAATAATTAATATTTTAAATAATAGTATTATTTAAACAATTAAATAATATTATAAATAAATAATTTTTAAATACTCTAAATATCAAAATATTAATAACTAAATCATATATTACATATTATTTCAAAAACAAAAAATAGATTAAATAACAAAATCATGTTATAACTTTTAAAAAAAATTATCAAAAGCACAAGAGGAATTCTAACTAATGAGGCCCCATGCGAAGCACGGGATGTGGCACCCCTCCTTGTCCCTTGCCCCCGTAGTCAATACACTCTACCCCATCCCCACCTTGTTCCCAATAGCAGGGTGGGTTCGAGGCGAGGCACCCATTCCCCAGGGAATCCCCAAATTTTCTCCACCTGAGGCAACCACCTAAAATTAATCTAATTTGTGGATATTTTACAAATAGGATTATTGTAATTTTGGATATTTTAGGAATTAGATTGTGACAATTTTGGGGTATATTATAAGTGAAAATGGGAGATCCTAGGATTATAACAAATATTATGAAAAACTTAGAGATATTTTAAAAGTCAATATTAAATCTACTGATATTTTACTAATTTACCATCGGGTTTGGGGAATTATATGCAAACTCCGTCCCTGATTTGGAGCAAAATTATTTTCCCCATCCCCACCCTGTCTCTTCTCCATCCCTATTTAAGATTCAAGGAAACATGCCCCATTTGGGGTGGGGCAAGGTATTATTTATGTTTTATATACTATTTTTCTAATAATTATTTGTGTTTTATATACTATTTTCAAATAAAATTTAAAGGGAAATTGTCTAAAACTCACCATGAGTTTTCAGCATTTATCTTAAACTCACCACAACTT